GCTGATCTTGAAATTGCCCTTGGTTAATGGTGAACTTGATCCCATTCAAAGAGGCAGCATTCAGTCCAGCTGCTTCGTACATCCCTTCTTTTGTCCCTGGTTAGTTAGGTCCTAGTGACATTTCCAGTGCGTTCCTGTAACAGCCCTTGTACTTGAAAGAGAATTTTCTTTCTGTGACTCAAACCACAGGAGGACTCGCAAGACAGCTATCTCCCCAGGTGAGACTTCTTAAATGGGAGTTAAGTGCATGCATTTTCAAGAAACTAAACTCCCCTCATATATAATTTAACCTAGAAAAGAAAGCAAAATTGAGAGAGTGGTATTACATTGTGTGAAGACTCGTAACTGTACCTCCCCTAGTCTCATGGAAGCCATGCACGCTTTCACTGTTTGGCTTGTCTCTAATGCTGTGGGGTGTGGGCTAAATGTGATATTGTAATGATACTGAGGGTTTCTCTAACCATAGTTTTGGGCTGTGGATTGAAATAGTAAATTACTCCTAGCAGACTGAATGGGTAGTCAGACTGCCAGCCAGTTCTCCTCATAAAACAAAGCAATAGATAAATAAAGGAGAGCCAACTCACTTAACCCGCATGACTCTGTGCGCCGCTAATTATTAACCCAGGCTCAAGAGAAGGGTTCACCCCGAGTGGAGTTAAATCATTTTTAATAGAGGTAAACACTAGCCATGTGGATGAGTAGCACTCAAGAAAGTTTTTAATCAGCAATGTTTAAGAATCACCCTACCTAATTGCCATAACTTATTAATAATAATAAATAATCTAGTCTTTTTATGGTCCTTGTCTCTGGAGGACTCAGTGCATTAAAGATCTCTGGGGTGTGAATCTCTCAGTTGCTATGGGGGAGGTGGGCAAGCATCGTTGATGCTTATTCGTAACAGAAGAAATTGGACGTCGAGGCTAAGAAAGGCAAGTCTGAGTCTTTCTCGTTTTCTTCTTCCCACTTCTGAATCACCAGTTTATAATGCCCTTTTATCTATCTAGAGGACCAGAATGGCTCCGGGGGCGGGGGTGGGGCCGGAGAACAGGCTTTCTTTGTTCACATGAATGATTGGGGTTGAGGTTTCTCTCCCTTGGGAAGTGAGTATGAGCAGAGCTTTGTCTGAAGGAGTTCATTTCCTCTGCACAAGTGTCCCTGGTGTCCCTGGGGCTCAACCTGACTGTGGCCAGGGTGAGCGCTGGCAACTCCCAACTCTGTACTTGTGTGGATTTCCAGTTCCTGGGAGAGCAGAGAAGATGGCGCCAAGACTCACTCTCAGAGTCATTCTCCACAGCAGCAGGAGCGGGGAGTGGGGAAATGTTTGTGTAAATCATCTGACTTAACCTTCCCAGCACCATGGCGTGTGTATTAAAATATCTCCAGGTCCGCGAGGAAGAAACTCAGGCTCAAATAATGTAAGTGATTGACTCCCAAACAGTTTTTAGTGGTTGGTTACACTGGAAGGAGATGATTGCATTCAAATTTGAGGCCATTTGATTTTTATAAGTTGATTAGTCCCTACAGATTGAGAGCTGATGGTAGTGGACAGAAACTCCAGAATAGGAGATAAGAGTATTTCTTATCTTTATGCTTATGTCTTCTGAGGTCTTGGTGGGGAGAGGCTGGGTGAATGTTGCCAGACAGCAAAGAATCCACTCCTCACTTAATTTCCATTCTTCTGTCCATGAATCATTCGAGCCTGAGCCTGGATGGCTGCTTTAGTCTGGAAAAGTGGAATTTTAAAGAAGGTACCCAAGCAGTAATTATTCAGAGCAAAGAGCTAAATAATGCTAAGAACAGAATGATTTATGCCATAGACTACAAAAGACATAAATTTAGAGTGTAAATTACAAGATAACTCGTGCAAAATTGTTGCAATATTTATACTAGTGTTTATTAAAATTTCCATTTGAATGAAAAGGTGAAAAATGTAAATGAAGCTGAAAAGAGGGTTTTAAAAATCTGAAATAGCTTCTGTGAAAATCAGGAGAGTTTTCTGTAATAGAGGAAACTAAGAGTACTCCATACAGACTTGTCTGCTAACCCATGAAATGTACAGTGGAATTGGAAGGAATAAGGTCTCTTATTCCTGAATCCCTGCCTGAATTTCCTCTCTCCCTGACCAGTGATGCTTTTCAGTGATTCAAATCAGTACTGAATTTTGAAGGAAGTACTCCCTGTCAAAAGCCATGGAGAGGTTGAGGATTCTGGACGGATGTCGAGACTGGATCCGTATTTGAAAGACTAATCTTATTTCACTGATGTTTTCAATGTTGGAAATTTTTGTCTGTATTCATTAGAGGAGAATGATAAATCTCTAATTTGTACTTGGCTAATAATAGGGATGAGCTTTTGTGCTTCATTAAGGTTAAATGAATCTCGTGTAGTCCTGGCTTAGCCTTTAAAGGGCGCCATGTGTGACCTTGGGAAAAATCTCTTACTGCCTTGGGACCCAGTCTCCCCATCTGTATAATAAGGGGGTTTGAGCAGATGAGTGCTAAGACAGACCTGCCCTCTGTCCTTCCCTCCTGTGTGGGATCCCACCATGCCAGGAAGTTAGGACCCACAAAGGCAATTAAGACACATAGCTCTTGTTCTCAGGGGCTCATGGGCTACATAAATAACTAATTATAACATGAGCTATAATTGCAACGTTACTCTAGGAGCACAGAGGCGGAAAGAGTGACTTCCCTCTCTGTAGGGATAGGCTGTGAGAAACTTCACTGTGGCTGTGACATTTGAAGGCGGAGGAGGAGGGCTCCTCCAGGTGTGCAGGCTGGTCAGAGGGTAAGTGGTTCAGACTGCTTTGCAGGCAGCAAATGCACATGACTGCAGTATGTTTAGGGAACTGCACACGGTCCTTCTCTCAGTCTCTGGACAGTGTCAGGGTATAGGAGCTGAGTGACATTCTGCACACTGCGGTGTCAGAACTTGGGCCAGTGATGAATCACTGAGGTGAGAGAATAATGTGCAGCATGTATAAATTAGAGCAGAATTAAAGTTGTCCTGGGATGGCGCTATCATGCATTTACATCCCGGTTGGCTTTCATGAAAGGGTGGTGATTTAGACAACTCCCTGGGAGCTGTGAGCCTGCAGTCTGTCTCATTGGTACCAAAGCCGCTGGCTTGGGTATGCCCTGGGGAGCATGTGTATTGCATGTGAATGACAGTCCTCTTGGGGGTCACACGTGCCCCTGTGGAATGAAAACTACTCTCACAGGTATTCTCTCCTTGCAGTCTGTTTAACCCCAGGTGCATGTTTCGTCCGTACCATTTGTGGGCCATTGTAACTTTAGAGGATCTGTTGTTTTAGTTGACAACTGACAGCAAATTTAGATATTGATCTGGTTCTTAGTTTTTAAGATACAGTTGATCAGTTTTAAATCCAGATTATAAATGTAAGGCTTGTTCATTGTTAACAATTAAAATCATACAGAAATACTTACATATGATTTAAAAAATAGCCCCAGATTCCATAACCTGAAGATAAATATTTCTGTGACCATCATAGAAACACCTTTAGGTATTTCATTAGATGAAATTCCTAGCAGTGGCATTGTACGTCTAGGCATGTATATTTAACACTTCCATACATACTGTCAAACTATCTTCTGGAAGTTTCATACCTGTTTACAACCCTACGGGCAGGGCAAGAACTAGCTCACATTTGGGTGGTGCTGTCTGTTTCCTGCCAGTGCTGCCACATTTAAGTGGCTGAATGAGAAAGAACGAGCAGACAAAAATACTTTTGGGGCGACTGGGAGGCAGTAGAAGCAGGGTGAACCTGAATACATGGGCTGGATGTCACAAGTACCTGGCATGTGTGTTCACCAGAAGATACGGACACAATGCCACAACTCCTAATTGCCCAACGCTGAAAACACTCCAAATCTCCATCCACATTGGGGTGGAGAAATAAATTACGGTATAATCACGCAATGAAGTACTATCCAGCAGTGAGAACGCACGATCTACTGCGTGCTACAGCGTGGTGACTCCCACGATCACTGCGGAGCAAAGAAGGCAGACAGAAAAAATTCGTACTGTGTCAGTCCATTTATATGAAGTTCAACAACACGCAAAACGAATGTAAAGTGTTAGAAGTCACGCCAATGGTTGTCCTTGGCGGGTGTCAGTAACTGCTTGTTCATTTATGCTTTTTGCTGAGATGTGTGTTCCCTGGTGCCAGACCTAGTGCTTGGCATACAGTCGCCTCTCAAATATTTGTTGAAAAAGAGTAATTAACATTTTTGTCACCTTTTAAGAGATTTTGACTTAGGACTGAATATGAAGATATGGTGTTACTAGTTGTGAGTTATAATGTGGAGAATTCATACCAATGTTGTGCTCATTATGATTGAAATACAGAACTTCAGCACATTCATAGGCCCTTCCTCTGTTTATCCTGTTATGTGCTAATTTTGCTGTGTCGTTATCGATAAACTGGTCAGGCAGCTTAGTCATGGGTAGGGAGATGTTTTTTGGAATCGGAGACTTGGGTTCAATCCTAAGCCCATTGCTTATTCCTCTGTGGCCTTGGATGAGTCACTCAACATTCCAGAGGTTCTGTTTCCCCATCTGTAAAGTGGAAATAATAATACAACCCACTGTATAGGGTTGCTGTGAAAATAATAATGATATAAACATTAATGGTAACCGCCAAGTCTTGTATGTTTACTATGGCACCGATCTAAGCCTTTAAAACACAGGATGTAATTTGCTTTATCTTTCCAATGCTTTTGCCTGTTTGTGGTTTAGGGGACTGTAAGCCACTGAGTTAGTAAGCATTGAGCCAGGTTATAAACCCAGGCAGTTCCCTTCCAGAGCTCAAGCTCTTAACCACTGCCTTTGAGTAGAGGAAATATTGTACCGAGAGTGCTTAGCAAAGTCAGCATATGTGAGCTCTGATGATCACCACTGTCGTTTTCAACATGATGATTAATATTTTTTCTCCTCTCTCTCCCCCTTTCTTCTCCCCTGTTTTTCCTCCCTCCTGACAGATGTTTTCCAGCAAGGTAAGCTCCCTGCCTCCTGCCTGCTTTTCCGCGGGCTGTGCTCTTTGGGGAAAGGGTATCATCTGCGTGCAGACTTATGGGGCTTGCAGGCTCAGCGCACGTGTCCCGGGGGCCTTAGGAGGTTCCATGAGGATGAGGGCCTGCGGTGGCATGAGGTGCCATCTGCCTTCCTGGGCTTCTGATGTCCAGCCTCTCTGCTTCCTCTAGACCCTGCTTGGGGGTGGGGTGCGGACCAGACAGTTGGTACTGAGGAGAGGTTTATGGCTGGGAGCCTGTCTGAGGGCAGGGCTGCTGTGGGGCTGGTGAGGCCGGTGAGCTGTAGGTGTCTCTGGAGGGGAGTGGAGGCCCCCAGCCCCTCGGGGCTCCTGCATCAAGGCCAGGTGCTGCTTGGTCAGGGCTTCACAAAAGCCACCTCCACCCGGGGAGTTCTCTGCCAGGCAGAAGTGTTACTGTCCTGGAGATATGGGCGTGACCACATCTGGCTGGTTGCTTCGTGCCCCTCAACCCAGTGGTGCCTCACCACCCCTCCGATTGGGCCTGTGACTGCAGTGAGCCCATCCAGGGTGCAGTGTCTTGTGTGTTTAGCCAGCAGGAGCTCACGTGTCCCGGGGAGCTGGCGAGGGAGCGCCTTCCCGAGACTGTGTCTTCCGGTGGGTGGTTCAGTCCCCCCGGGGATCCACAGCCATGTGCTCTGGGAGACTCATGGGCGTAGCCTTGTTGAACCTGCTGGATACACATTAAGGGGGGAAATACCTCTTTCCCTTTCTGATCACAGTCTGAGGCTACCAGGTCAAACTGGCAGGACCTGACAGTTTATATTGAAGTTGGGAAATATGTCTGTGGCACACATCTGCCACACCTTTCTTGAATTCCAGGCTGGCTTAGAATAAAAGAGACTGGTTTAAAAATACATCCAGGCATCCCATATATAGCTGCCAAATAATCTTACAGGCTCGATACTTTCCTGACGATTATTTCCCCCCAAACAGGCAGCGTGTTATGGAGAAGGTCTGTCTGTTGTCTCTACTAGAAGCACGGTTGTGGGTAACAATGAGGGGACTGTTGTGTTATCTTTTAAGAGTCTGGAGACCTAGACTTACTTTTATAAATAATTCATAAATCCCAGCAAGCCATAAGTAATAAGTTCCATTTGGCTAGAGACTAAGAGACGAGCAAAATTGAGAAGGTACCTCGGCTGTTGCTGGAATACCATTGCTGCCGTCAGGGCCCCCGGCTACAGTTCATCATCTTCCTTGACAAATTGGGGGTTCAGTGGGACTCTTTGAGAGGAGAATTTTTTTGTCTATGATCTTGAACGCCAGTGTCCCCTCCCCGGCCCCCAACACTGAATTACATTTTTCCTTGTGAGACATAAAATGCTTGAGTTTGGAAAGTCTTGCTGGAGCACGTGTAGCGAGGCCGCTGGAGGATGGGGAGAGGAAAGGTTTGTATCAGATCTGGCTTTTCTACCCACAACCATGAGCACGTGCAGTTGTTGGAGTCCGTGTAAAAAATGGCTTATCAGGCTATTTGTGTCAAATTTGCCTCCTTTTTAATCAGTCATGCCATTTGATTGATGGGATTTGCCTGTCAGTAACAGTGATATGCAGAGCAGGAGTTATAATCATCTGCAAATCACAGGCTATGGAGACTTACTAGCATCTTCCAGGGATGGAAGCTGCTGGCCACCTGTTGCCCTGTGACACGGTGGGCGGCAGCTCCCTCCTCGGATGTTACTAGCATCTCAGGTGCGGAGAGCTGAACTTGCTTTTGGGAACTTGCTTTGGCCTTACAGGACCATTTCACACAGAGAGGCACTCTCTGAAATGATGGCCCAGAACTCACCAGCTGGTTCCCCCTGCTTACCTTTGCTTCTGGCCACTCTGCCTGTGAAATTCCCACTCAGTAAAATGTGACAGTAAGAAACATGCCAGTGACAATAACATCAGACCAAGACAAAAGGTTCTATGTCTTACAGACAGAATCTGAAACATTGACTGCTCAACATCTTCTAGGGTTAAAACTCTGTTCCAGAATTGTGCCATTAACGTGAAACGCGGTGGGGCCATGGGTAAACGGTAGAAAACCACATGGCTTCAGATGAACAGAAGCCACGGGGTAGTTTCTGAAGCCCATCCACACAGGACAACTCTGAGCGGCTCTGGCACGACCACGCCGTGGACATCCAGGCCCTGCTTGCTTTGGCTTCCCCAGGAGTCCCGGGCAGCTGGCGAGATGCTGCTTTGCAAATATGTCCTTCTGGCTGTGAGTGAGTGAGCGAGGCCCCTTTGCCCAGAGGAGTCCCTGCGTGTTTGGGCTGCTGTGCACTGTGGAGGCAGAAGAGGGAAGCAGGCTTGCAAGTTGCCAACATCAGACACTCTCAGAGGAAACCAAAGTTATTTCCTCTGGATTGCATTATCTTTTATTTCGCTACAGATCAATCTTGTTACGGCAGATACAGCGCAGCAGCTCCTGCTCAGCCTTTCTCTGCTATGTCCGCGGTGTGGGCACGTGGGAGCGGATTTCTACCCTGTGCCATTTTAGAGCTTGTCTCGGTTCTTTCATGTGTAAATGCCACTTGCTGTGGTTAGACTACAGGGCATGAGACTGTCAAGGACCGGTGGGTCCGCGCCTGGACCTTCTATATGGACGGGGCCACGTTTTCAAGGAGCCTTAATTGACCCACATTCTCTGCTGTCTGTAGAGCTCCCGAGCCATTGGATGGCTTTCAGGAATTCCGAAGTGCCACAGAATTGCTCTTCACAACACATGCGATTGAAAATGCTGTATGTGCACACGTGTCTGGAATCTTGAGTTTTAGACCAATCGTTTAATAATGAAGTCAGGACCACACACACATGCACACACGCACATACACACACACACAGCTCATTTAAAATTGTTGAAGCACCCTTAAATGCTTATCCACAAGCTCAACCTTGATTCTGAGATAGAACAGAAACCAAGAGAGTGGCTTGGAAATGAGAGCGTTACCACTCAGCTGGGTGTTTGAAAGCGTCACTGGGCACAGTTATAAAGATTTCACCATTGAGTTAATTCTCTGCTCAGTGAACTGAGGTCCCTTATAGACTCTGTGCCCGAGGAGGCATAGCCTTTCCTCCTCCTCAGTTTTCACCCTGAGGTGGGATCTTGCTATTAGATTTTTCTTTCAGCTCAAGTAATTTTTGATACCTTTCAAACATAGTGCACTTGTTTATTTTGTGACTGGTTGCCACGTGCCTGGCACTGTCTAGATCTCGAGAATAAAGGCGTGACCAAGATGGCAAAGGCCCCCGTTCTCCTGGAACTCATGGTTTAGGTTGGAGACCATTTGGTGCCCAGTGTGCAAATTAATAAACAAGGCAAATTCCAAGAGGATACAAGCAGGGAAGAAAACAACATGGATAGTGCACTGGGGGCTTGGAGGGCCACTTTCGATGGGGAGACCAGAGCATGACAAGAAAGACCAGCTATTGCAGAATCTGGGGGGACAGCAGTGGAACTTGCGGGGAGGGGCCGCTGGGCAGGAACACCCCAGTGTTCCAGGATCAGAAGGAAGTTGGAGTGAAGGAGGGAGTTGTGTGAAATGAGCAAGAAGACGGGCAGGAGTAGGGTCTAGGACCAGAGGAAGGAAGTCCATAGTGGGCTTTAAGCAGAAGCATTTGTATATGCTTAGAAGACCCTCCGTTTTTGCTTCCAGCAGGGTTGCTGCCTTTATTGAGAGCTTGGGCCAATTGCTTTGCCCTGTAGCCTCAGTTTTCCCATCTGTAAAATGAGAGGGTTGGGGAGATCCCTGACCCAACTTGGCTTCCTGCTGATGCTTTGTTAGAGAAGTTTTAGGTGGATTTGAGTTAATAAGGTGCAGATTTTGACTATTATCTAGAGAACTTGGGTGAAAGCAGAGGTTCCCATTAGGCCGAGAAATAAGGTGAAGAGAAATGTGGTTTCAGAAGTGTAACCTACTCACATGGGCATCTGGAAACATCAGTTCTCTCCCATGTGGATTCATACTGGAATGCACTCTGGATGGCATTGCTTTTACGAATCTGAAGAGAACAATAAATCACAGTTCGCTTTCTGGCAGCCCAGCCAAGCCCGTTAATTGTTGAGGTGGACTTGTGGTGACAGGGACCGCTGTCATTTATAATGTGCTTGACTTAAGCTCTTTGCATATTTCAAATGTATTGGTCAGACTGCTGGGGCTGGATCTTAGGTTTTCCCAACCACTTTAGAAAACCCATCTATTATAAAGCTCTGACCCTTTATCCATGAATTATGGTCCCTCTGGTAATGTTACACATTATGAAATATTGTTTTCTTTATGAGTGTGGGATTGGGGTGAATAAATTAAATCTATTGTTCCCACTTCCAGGTAAAAACTCCAAGTTGTCATGTGACGTTAACTAGTAAATGACTAAAAAATGCATGAATGTTTTTATGGAACATTCACGCTTCCTATATGCTAATATTGACTGTGTTTGTATATCACCCCTCATTCTGTCCAGAATCAGAAGAATATTCTGAGTCATGTAGGAAATGCATCCATCTTTCCAGCGCAAACTGAACAACATTACCATTTAATTTCATACGGATTCACTTTGTGTGTGTGTGTGTGTCAGAGAGGTAGGAAGATGATAGGCATTTAGATGATATTTACATAATCATATTCTCTGAGATGCTTTGCCACATTCTGCGTGGGCTGTGCTGGGCGGCCTGTTCCCTGCCAGGTGGCCTCCGGTGCGCGTTTCGTTGGAGCAGACTCACTGTGTGCTCACTCTCCTATCCTGGGGCGTGAGTTCAAGGTGAGGGTTCAGAGCCTTTCCACCCAGTAACTTGAGTTTAAAAATTGCCAGATCAATAAAGGGGGAAACTTTTATTGTCGAGATAGTTGATAATAAGTTTTTCTTTTTAAAATTTTATTTTTTTGGGATGATGATGATGATAATGGTCCCACCAGCATTTGTGTACCTCCTGTATTCCAGGCATTGGGACAGAAGCTT